TAAATCACACGCTATATTATTTAAAAAATTTATTAATCAAAACTCCAAAAAAGTTAAAAACTCATAGGTCCCGAAGAAAACGTCAAAATAATTCCTCTATGTATATAAATAGCAGGAAGCGAGTATAAGTATAACTGCAGGAACTGGAGGCAAGCTGACCGCAGAGAAAGGAATTGATTGGGCATGGATCCACCTTCACGTGAGGAGATGTCTTACTACGACCATGTCCGGACCCGACATCAAGACAGAGGCTGCCTCTATGCATGGTACTCTACTCTACTCAATTCTAATTCGACGTCGTTCTCTCCTTTTTATTTATTTATTTATTTTTTTAATTATTTACAATAAATTAATTTGAACTTACTTAATTAAATTGGTAATTGGGTGCAGCTTGTTTGCTGCGTGTTGCTGCTTTTGCTGCTACGAGGCGTGCGAGTGCTGTTTGGACATCGCTTGTTGCAAATGCCTCTGGTGACTAAATCAACGGCTCAGATCAGATCTGATCTGATCCCGTCTTCTTTCATCGGATGTATATTTTAATAAATCGGATTGAAATTAAATATAAATATATATATATATATATTCATCGGATGTATATTTTAATAAATCGGATTGAAATTAAATATAAATATATATATATGTATATTTGAATACATCAATGTGATTAATTAAGTTCAACATGTATTGAATATATATTGATTGAATTACGAATTTCCTTATAATGTCTTTATTTATTTATTTATTTATTGATGTGTATGGTTTACAAAATAGAATACCAAAACTTCAAACAAGTTATTATAACTTGTTGAAATTGATTTATGGAACAAAACACATTCGAATATTTCAAATGATCAACTCCCGAAGCGTGGACATTTCACAGTTAAAATAACACATTGACCACAAAATATAATGCATAACTGAAAATAACAAATGAGACAAGGTATTTGTTGACCCGGTTTAATTATCAATCAATCTACATCCAGTGATAGCAATTCAAAAGAAATTCACTAATCAGGGCTGATTAAGAACAAAAACAATCACAACTCCTTCTACCCACGCTCCTATCATGATTAACCTAGGAAAATACCTTCACAGGTTCACGTTGTCACAAACGCGTACTGACAATGACCATACAAGATAGCAGCTCTGAGCTTGATCATCCTTTGCGGTTGAAACTCCATTATTTCTGATCTCCGTCGACCTCTCCAGCGAATTTTAGTGTTAAACAATAGTTCAAAACATAGAGAAAATATGAGAGAATGGTGAGGGCATCAAATCCTCTATTCATATTTTCCCTATTCCCTCTATTCTGGACACTTGGAAGATTGGAAGAAAGAAAACCTGTAAATAAATTTAGAATTTATATATAATAATTTATGTCTCTAAATTTTGGCTCTCAAACCTCAATCATCACAAATTTTTTTGTCTCTGGTATATACCATGCAACCTTAGATAGAACAATCCCTGGTTAATTTCTCTTTGCATGAAATGAGATGGAGTGCTCTCCAATAATTCTACACGTGTCTGACCATCCCAAAATATCGTGCTTGACTCTTGTAGGCATTAAAGGGATAAGACGCATTGAATAAAGACAAACTCATAAAAAAAATTAGTTGCTGCACGATTGCAGTGACGGACTCTCTGCAACCTTGTATGCTAGAAATGAAAAATTTGTTGCATCATGTAAAAAACATATTTTTCAATATGCCAAAAATAACAAAGGGTGTTTTTCATTCATATAACTCTATTTTTTTTTTTACTTTTTTTATGTCGTAGAAATTTCAATCACTATTATTTGAATACGCTTTGGATCTCAACTGAATTTAATAGCCTACACACCACTCTTGTGCTTGAAAATGATACGGACACAGACGTATAACTTGATAACTGTATAATTTAACGATGACAAATTTTGTTCTAAAAATTCAAAACCTAACCCAAAGATGTTTATAGAAGGGGCACTTTTCCTCCTTTAAACATGCCAACCGATCTTATCGATTCTTTTCAAGTTTAGAAGTTTTCGAGTTCTTTAGCTATATTTTCCCGCAAGCATTTCTAAATTTTTTGCCACCAATTAGGGTGTGTTTTTTTCTATTTTTTTCTCACACACGTTTTTCTAAAAAAAATTAAGACACTACACATATTTATTATTTTTATATTTTTCTACATAATTTCATATATCTTACAAAAATTTTATTTACAACCATTTCACAAAACAAACACACCCTAATTTCACCTTCAATTGTTTGTTAAAACTTTGAATTTTGAAGTGCTATATTTTCAAAGACGAAAATGGTTTATCTTTAGAAGTAGTATGCCGATGATTAGAAATACTACCGTAACAAAACTAGCTTTTGGAAAGAGAAATTTTCGTCGACTCAGCTGTCCATAAATAATTTTATTCATTTATTATCATATTTCTAACAAATACATTTAGAGATTGAATATGCCGGAAAAAAAAATGTATATTTAATATATATATATATATTTGTTTTGTATTGTTATAATTTTTATTGATCTTTTTGTATTTGTTAGTTATTTATTTATTTATTTTTTATTATTATTATTTTTTAAGATATTGAGAAAATTGTTAGAGAGTTTTAAAATTATATCAATATGTTTTATGTCATAATGTTGAGATTTTACTAATCTGTCAAATAATAGAATTAACATTAACTAGAATGTGTTCCAAACAAAAACAACACGCAAGCACTAGATATTGATTCATTTGGGTATTCAACTCATAGAACACAATTTATTGTTTAAAAAGAAAACAGATTGAAAGCAAAAACACTTCCCTATTTCTTCTAACTCCGGACAACGGCAATGAATAGGCATCAACGATCACCGGCGCAACGTGGCATACAACAAGAACGGCTCCCTTCTCCGGCGACTAATGGCAACGGACGAACAACAACGAGGATCCTCTTTCGGCGATTTCCAAGCGACTCGACAAACAATAGGGGAAACTATTTTGAATGCTCAATCTACAACCTAATGACTCATACTTAGGGACTAACCCAACCGCCTTCAAACAAAACTCCAAACCAACGGACTTGATCTTAGAACCCTAAATTCTAATAGACCGATTTCCCCAAAAACCTCACAAACAACACCCAGATGAACAATTTACCGAAGGAATCGAACTAGAATGACTGCAATATTGGCGAAGAAGAAAACTCCCAATCTTACCGAGAAGAATGACGATGAAGATGAACCAGAGAGAAAAACTGAATCGCGATACACTGTCTCTAATGAGAAGGGAAGGGAATGGGGAGTTATAAGGTGTGTGTCGGGTCGGGTCAGAAAACTGGGTCGGGTTAAAGAGTTTTGGGTTGCGGGTTAGGCTTGGTATTGAGTTGGGCCAAAAAGTATCAACACATAATACAAATAATATATCCCAAGGATCAAATAATATTCATAACGAGGTATAATTGATGTATTTTAATTCTCCATTGACAATGATTTGTTTGTGATATTTCAATTTAAACATTTATGGAACATCTCTTCCAAAAGTTGTACACGAGTTCTAATAAATGGGTGTTTTTTTAGTCAAATTATACTGACTCCGTCCAATTTCAAAGTATCATTTTATCATTTTCGTTTGTTTCATTACAAAGTATTCATTTTACACTAATATTAAAATACGCTTAACCTTTACTTAAATTACAAACATACAATTACCTGTACAATTATTTTATAAAGTAAATGACAAAAATGTCAAAATATTTTGTACATTTCCATTGATCAATAGATTTCTTAATCTATTACAAAATCTCAAAAGACGTTTTTGAAATGGGACAGGAGGGAGTACTCAATTTTTATTATTCATAATTTTTTCCTCTAAAATATCTCATATTTTTTATTTTTATATTATACTAAAAATTAATTTTTATATTTAAAATATGATATCAATATCTATTTATATCACATCATATACCTATTAAATTCAAAAATTTTCCTAGATGCAAATCTCAAATTAAAATTCAATCAACCAAATAAACATACCCATATATAAATATATAAATGAGTTAATGGGGTTGGGAGAAATTTTTTGATTAATTAAATATATAAATACATGCGATATATTTATAACTAAGTCTATTGAATGATATAAATTAAAAATATATAAAAGTTTTTTTATGCAACAAAAATAAAAAAGAGTATTATTTATTCTTATCAATTAATAAATTTTCTTTAAATATATTATATTAAGTCTAAGATTAAGATATTATGTATAAATATATCAATTTATCATTTTAATGAAAGCTACAAAAGATGGTAAATAAAGATAAGCTTAATTATAATATAATGAATTTAATTTATATTTGCATTTTACTTATTATTCATCTCAGTTGCAACTTCAACTTCAATTCCAAAGTAAATTGCATAATATATCTTTAGGACATGTTTGTTTGTAAAATTTTGATTTTGCTGTGAAATAATTACTCTAAAGGCTAAATGAAATTTCAAATTCAAACGTCAATTTTCAAATTATCATATGGCAACGTACACAGAATATTTTTTTACAATAAAGTTTCACACTTTATAACTAAAAAATTTAATTTTATTAGCTAATAATGCTATGGGCTTTATGGGAGCTTCTTAAATTAAATTAAAAATACAAATTATGTACTATTTTTCATACCCTCACAAAAATTTCCATTTTTTTGGTCGATCAATCAAAGAAGTCATTTATTTTATTTCATATTGTGTAACATACATGTACAGACATGAATATGTAATGCAACTTATGACTTCTCCAAGCCAAGGGTAAAAATGTAATTTCATAGCCATCTTTCTGCAGACGACCGTTGCTTAAACGTCGCCGTTTTGCGCATCTCCTATTCGAAAAATAGCGTAAAGGTCCTTTAAGTTCCTCTTACGTAAATATTTCTGAGTTTAAGGGCATAAATGTAATTTAAGGTATCAACCATACGACGTCGTCCTCGTCATCGTCTTCGTCGTATATATGGCTCCAAGCGTTCGGCTACCACGAATCCAAATTCTTCAGCAATTTTCCATTACTGTTATCGCGAATCTTTCAGTGTTCTTCCAATTTTTGTCCTGCGGGCTTTGATTCGGTGATTTGGATTCGTGTGAAATCCTGATTCAAGCAAAAGCTGGGAATTTTTTAGGAATTGTTTACGTATAGCGAAATTGTGTGAGAACAGGAAATGGTGGGATCTACGCTGGCAGGCTTGCAAGATCACGTGAAGTTGGCCAGAGAGTATGCAATCGAAGGACTCTACGACACTGCCATTATCTTCTTCGATGGCGCCATTGCTCAGATCAACAAGTAATTTTTCGATCCCTTTGTTCGGTAGTTTTACCTTCGACCTCATTTCTCAGAAATTTCGAAGCTTAATTTGTTTATTTAGATCTGCAAGTTAACTATTTTGCTCTCTAGTTTAGTAGCTACCGCCCCGGGAAACAAAATTCATGGAAATGCTTTCCAGAATTAGGGCTTTTTATCCCTTGTTGTTTGCGTAAATTATTATTTTCACAAAGATGTAAAGTGGCTTGCTTGAATATGGTTTAGGCATTTGAATACTGTTGATGATCCATTGCTCCGTACGAAATGGATGAATGTAAAGAAAGCAATTTCTGAAGAAGTGGAGGTTGTGAAGCAGTTAGATTCAGAGAAAAGGTCGTTCAAGGAGGTTCCTGTTGGTAGACGAGTTAATTCTCCTCCAATATCAGCCAAATCATCATTTGTGTTTCAGCCATTGGATGAATATCCAACTTCTTCTGGTGCTCCAATGGACGACCCCGAGGTGTGGAGGCCACCTAGTAGAGATCCTACAGGTAGGCGGCCGACACGACCTGGTGCAGTGGGCACGAGGAAGTCACCTCAAGATGCAACTTGGGCTCGTGGAGCTACAGCTAGAACTGCAGGGCGTGGAGGAAAGACAAGCGTTTCTAGTAAGGTGAACACCGGAGTCCGGGCATCGACTGCTGGGAAAAAAGCTCCGGGGAGTGGGAAGTCTGCCTCCGGGAAGGCAGACGCTGCAGTAAGTGTAAGACAAGAGATACTTTGTTCTTGCAAACTAGCTTCTTTATGCATCCAACTGATTCAAGTATTGTGATACATAATGGTAATTTGCATACTTTGCTGTTGAATTGAAAAAAGAATTAATCTAAAGTCATATCATAACCATAGCTTTATTGCAAAAAATTAGATTAGTACACCTTGGGAAAATTGTAGTTTTTTCATTATATAACGATTAGTAACAGTTAGTGAGTGGTGCAAATGTAGAAATTAGTAAGGGATAATGAATATGCAATCTTCTCTTTATAATTTTGAGAACTCTGCATTCTTTTACCTTCCATTAAATGCATTTATTTATTTACTTCCATATATTTAATCAAGAAATAGAGCATATTAAATTTGATTTTATTATTCTTATCTAGCTCGAGGAAAATTACACTTTAAAACTGGCTGTGTGCATCTTGACCTGTCCTCACCAAATGATCTACTGTAATGATGTTTCATTACTGGTTTTGAATTTATTTTTCGAATCCTATTAAGGATATATGGATGTTAGTAAATGTGATCTTAATTGCTTTTCCATTATTATGCTCGTGCACTTTCTGGCATTATTTATATTCTTGCAGGAAGGTAAAGGCTAAGTAGTCCAGGAATGTAAACATACCGGCAGTTTTAAATTGTTATCCTATGTGCCTTTGAAGTACATATAACAAATTTGATTTATTGTGGATAATCTGAAGTTCTTATATCACCATGTGTTCAGATATTGCTCTTTGTCGTTTCTTATAGATTTTGTTTAATTTTCAGAGTGGAGAATCGGAGGAAGCAAAGCCGAAAAAAGTTCAGTATGAAGGTCCTGATGGAGACTTGGCTGCTATGCTTGAAAGGGATGTCTTGGACTCTAGTCCTGGTGTTAGATGGGATGATGTGGCGGGGCTGAGCGAAGCGAAAAGACTACTAGAGGAAGCTGTGGTTCTTCCACTTTGGATGCCCGAATATTTCCAGGTATCAACTATTAATTGAAGATGATTTACTCATGAATTAAATTCTTTGTTTTTCTATATTGGATAAGATATTCTTCATTTGTGTGGTCTTCTAAGAAGTTGAGCTGTTATATGTCAAGGGTTCATGTCTAATACTGGTTTTCACAGGGATTTGATTTTCTCTTTGTCATTGTTACTTTATTGCTAATATATTTCTTTTCAGAACTTAATTTTTACAATTACATTAATTAAGTAGTTACATTTTGGGTTTACACTTGCGAATGCTCTCTGAGTGATTGTAGGGAATTCGGAGGCCATGGAAGGGTGTTCTTATGTTTGGTCCTCCAGGTACCGGAAAGACTCTTCTTGCTAAAGCCGTTGCAACTGAATGTGGGACAACATTTTTTAATGTCTCTTCTGCAACATTGGCTTCTAAATGGCGTGGAGAAAGTGAAAGGATGGTGCGTTGCTTATTTGATCTTGCTCGAGCTCATGCTCCCAGTACAATATTCATCGATGAGATTGACTCTCTCTGCAATGCTCGTGGGTAAGACATTTCTTTTGTGGTGACTTAATATTTTTTTGTTAACGACTAATAATTAGATGAGATTAAAGGTTTTCGCTGCTTGATATGTGTACTACTCATTTTTCAGGGCTTCTGGGGAGCATGAATCTTCTAGAAGAGTGAAGTCTGAACTTCTAGTTCAGGTAGATGGTGTTAATGCTTCTTCCACAAATGAAGATGGTACGCGCAAGATAGTGATGGTTTTAGCAGCTACTAATTTTCCTTGGGACATAGACGAGGCGTTAAGGTTGTACTTTTTTTTCTGTCACTTCTTATAGTGATATTTTTTTTCTTCAAAACAGTCTTCTGCATCAGCTTATTCTTTCATAATGAGTGCAGGAGACGGCTGGAGAAAAGAATATATATTCCATTACCAAACTTCGAGAGTCGTAAGGAGCTTATCCGGATAAATTTGAAAACTGTTGAGGTAAAACTCAGTTGTCCTTCTTGCACCTTGAAATGCATTGCTTGCTTGCCTGTAAGAACTATTTGACAAAATTATATCTTGTATATTACAAAATTATATGGTATCGGTAAGTTTCTATTGTAGAAACTTGTTGGCACGCAATAACGTTTTGAAATTATACTATCACTAGGTCATTCAGTAGGCTTTGCCTTTGGTTTTGACCTTTTTCTCCCCCAATTCTATTATGATTAGGAACATGTAAACAGAAACCAATTAACGTGTTATTGGATAGAAAGCCCTTTTAGCATATCTACCTGATTAACTTTGTAGAAGTATTTTATCATGTATAATTGTTATTCTCCAAATAAGTAGCATGAGATCCTCTATTTCGAGCTTTTGTGTATCCATTTTGTAGAATCATTAATTGGTATTTGCATTTATGATTTGCATATTAGTCAGGTAGCAGACAAATACAATTTCAGGATATAGGATCTCATCCCAACTAATGACCAGCAAATGATGCAATAAATCTTTTGTTTATAGAGAGACCAATATCCACTTGTGAATAGTGATAAATAAACTTAGAGTGAGAAAGAGGATCAAGACGTCGACATCAGGCAAAGTGGTATAATTCGTATTTTCCTCTCTTGATTTGTGTGGTCATATTAGGTAGCTCAAGACGTGGACATTGATGACGTTGCACGCCGAACAGAGGGATACAGTGGAGATGATCTAACAAATGTTTGTCGAGATGCCTCACTAAATGGCATGAGGCGCAAGATAGCAGGAAAGACAAGGGATGAGATCAAGAACATGCCAAAAGATGAGATCTCAAAGGATCCTGTCGCCATGTGCGACTTTCTAGAAGCCATCACTAAGGTTCAACCCAGTGTATCTGCAGCTGATATCGAAAAACATGAGAAATGGTTTACTGAATTTGGGTCAGCATAAGGCGACAATGGCAAGGGCAATGTCCCGGTATCATCTCACTTCCCCCTTTTTATGCAATACTAACTGCTTTACCTATATGATATTCTTTTTCAGCTAATGGAACTAGTTTGTTTCTCTTTTGTAGTAAAATCGTGCGCCCCATCGTAAGCGAGCTTGTTTGTTTATTCGCCCGTCTTCTGGTAAAATTTGTTGTGTGTGTGTGTTTCTAAATACAATCGATCGATGTTTTGATTTGTACGGTTTCAATTTGATGTTGTTGCTACCATTTATGCCCTTTTGGAAGGTCTTCTTTATCTATTTATTTTGGGTAAAGTTACTGTGCTGATCAATTAATTTTGATAGTGAAATAGTAATCGCAAACCGAAGGCAATGATCAATTATGGCGTGTATTTTCATTCCATGGATGCATAGTTTGTTTCAATATCATAATCAGATTTTGAATTTATGAAAAATGAATTTGATGCAATTTATATGGTTGTATATGTTTTGGGTTTTGGTTAATTATTGAGAAAATATATTCGGGATGTGTTCTCAGCTTGTTAAAACTTCCTATCTGCAATATATTTGGGTAAATTCTATAACATTGTGTTTAAGTAAAATGTATAAAGGACTCAGTGTTTTATTATACTTTAAAATAAAATTTGCACAAAATACTTAGTTCGAAGTTGTTGATATATGGTTGTAAATACAAATTTAAATATACAAGTTTTATACTAATAAAAGAAGTAAATACATTTAGTTTATTTTTTAATGGAATATTTCTCCATTAATATTATTAAAAAAATACAAATACACATATATTTTAATATAATATATATATTACCAACCTAATTTTCGATATATTTTTATTTTTAGAGTAATAGCGAAGTCTAGTAAACAATCTAAAATAACATATTAAAAAAATACATGGACAATATTTTTAATCAAATGTTGCATGGTTTTACATTTGTATTAAAATTTTTATTACTTTACTCTTCTAAGAATAAGAACTCTCCGATCATATGTATTAGTACATAATCTTTCATGCGTATTACTCGTCAACTTGTGTTATCGGATATTGGATTTTATAAATGTTTTTGAAATTATAAATATATAAAAATAATTTTAAATATTACTAGTCATTATTTTGTAAAATTAAATTGAAATGTCATTGAAATTATAAATGTGCAACTATAATCAATAAATATATACAAATAATTTTAAATATTACTTGTTATTTTTTGTAAATTAAGCGATGAAAATTTGCTACTTATTATTTTTTAAAATTATAATTTAATTAGTGATTCTTAGGCCCTTTATTTATGATAATACTATTTTTTTCTCAACTTTTCATAACATACATGATTGGTATCAAACTTGCTCATAGCAATAATTAATCAGCACTAACAAAATACATTCATATTTACGCAGACAAATATTTCATGAAAGCAATAACTAAGACACATGTAAATGTTAACCCAAGTTCAGTCATGAATGATGTATATTTGAAGTTCCAACCTAAACATAATCACACTCAATCAAGAACAAATCAAATTTATAAGAAGAATGTATTGGATTTTACCTTAAGAAATTTCAATTATGCATTCTCAAGGTTCCAGACCAACCATAAATACACCCTACTTGCTACCTTGTTTTTCTTTCATGAGTTAATTATAAAAAAATCTCAAAAATATTCTCTTCTAACAAGCTCATGTCCAAAATGAAATCTCACATCCTAACGAGATGCTAAAAAAATCTTATGAATTGTACACATTGTAATTTTTTACTATTAAGTCATTGCTATCGATCAATTAAATTGCATCAGATCAACATTTGGGCTGCCTTCTTGATATTGGGCTCATGATCACAAACCCAGCATAAACATCAACCAAAACTAAATATAAAATCAAATTAACTTTTAATAATATTCCATTTTTTTAGCTAATATTTTGCTAACTTCAATATGGACGATCACATCAATATTTCATACTATATGGGTGTGTTTGTTTGGGGGGTTTAAAATCCAATCCCCCACACAAATACACCCTAAGTAAGCATTTAAACTATTGCAAATTCTTCCTCAATCAAGAATAAAAACACCAAACAAAAGACATGCAATCCACTTTTTTTTTTTTTTTTTTTGGGAGATATCAAACAAAAAGACCTTATTCGACGTCATGAGGACTAGACAGTGCTTCTTCTTCTTTTGTCTACTCGTTCAAAAATATAAATAGTTTCTCCTTAATCTATGCAGGTCAGTTCATTTAACAATTATAATCAAGCAAGTAATCCACCAAATTCATCAATTCAACATCAAATCGTATCAATATAAGGACAAACGATTTACCCCTTATCGCAATTTTACTTCCTTCTTTTTGCTTCCCACCGTGGAGGACAATTTAGATACAAAAAACTTAAATCAACATTTAAAAAAAAATAATCAAAGTTGGGGAGAAAAGAGATGATTCCACATCTTCTCTATTTGGGTGGTCTGTTGCTAATTCGAATAATCTAAGATTTGATTCTGCGCATATATTTACATTGTACTAATTTTTCTCCAACATTAGCTTCCAAATATTTGTTATACAGACTTTTTTTTCAACCTCTTTTGGCTCAATCTTTGAAGTCAAATAATTTAGCCATCGTCCTCACATAAATTCATGAATTAATCTACATATATATATATATATAATTTTCACATTTAGAATTGTAAACAATAACATTTGTAAAGTGATATTGATTAATTGTAGATTTTATTCTTATACTAGATTTTACCCCAACACGTTCAAAAGCTAATTGACCAATGACTTGAATAGCATTAGTAGCATCATCTTTTGAATTGGACACCTTTCTATTTGACTTTTATATAGATGGTGCAATATGGTGAAGATTTGATGACATTTTTGGCTTTTATTCACATTTAATTTGAATTCTTTGGTTCAGATAGTTTGTCCAGATTTAATTTAAACGACTTCCTGTCTGTCCAGATTTTTTTTCTTTTTTTTTTTTTATAATTTCGATTCAATACTTGACTTTTTTAACTCCTGCATCATGTTATTTTTGACAAAAATGATCTGTGAATTCGAAACTCTGTAATGATAGTTAATTCCACCGGGATCACTATATGGTTTACATGGACAAAACTTTATCAAGCTTTTATTTTCCTTTAAGTTTCCTTTAAGTAGATGACTGTTTTTGTCTCAAAACTTTATGATTTTTCACTTTTCAACATATCTTTGTCATATTACCCAATAAAAGTATGTTGAATCCATTCTGTCATTATTGTTATTTTTTAAATGAATATTATTATCCATTCTGATTTCACTTTCTCATATATATTTATTGGGCTTATTTGACGCCCAATCCAACCAGAGTAGAACCAATATGACCCATTATACTGTATTATTTACTAAATATATCAATAAATAAATAAATTAACTAACACACCAAGAAACAAGGAGTTTTTGATAGTTTTGTTAAAAATGTCTAATATATTTTTTTTTAAAAAAAATTACTATATTATGCGCACTTATTATTTTTTATATACTTATACAATTTTATTTCGCATAGAAAAAAACATCTCTTTAAACAATTTTACAAAACAAAAAAAATCCACCTTATACACAATATTTATACACATACACAAATCGACTAAATTGTACAGATTGCGCGAAGTGCAGGTATTCTCTAGACTGTTTAGATTGTAAAAGTTAGTCTATGAATCGGACAATCTACAAATTGATAGTCTTCAGATCAGTCATCTTTAGATTATATAATCAAATATTGCTTAGATTAAATAAATCAGATAGTTCAATAGTTCACTCATTTGCAAATTATTTTTATTATTTCTGATTGTGTTGTATTATTATTATACATTGTCATTCGGTCCAGATTTCTGTAGACGATCAATTTGCAATTTGTCAATCGGCGGTATCAATCTCAACATAATACTATCAGCTGTTTTTTCATTGCTAGGAGATTACCAACCATTTACTAACAGTTATTTTATTTTTTCTATAAATATGTATAATATAAAAATACATCAAATCATCAAGAAGAAATACGTAGAGATTAGATCTTTTGGTCATCACCTTGTAGTGTAATTTTTTTATTTATTTCTATTTATTTTGCAATACAAAGGATTACTTTTATATTTTTTTCGATATTCGAATATTGTTCGTAGGCATTATACAATTCGTATTCTAATGGCTTCCTAATGCCGCCAACAACAATATATGACTATTCTCAGCTACACAACAATTTGGTTGTTTCTTCAACCAATTGATATTGTTATTCGTATGAAAATTTTATGCTCAGATTGAATTATGACTATTAGCGGCCAAATTTTGATGAATCAACTGGACAAATTATTACGAATCAATTTGAAAAATTATGACAATGATGATTATACCTATTCGTGGTCATATTATAGTAGTTCAATTAATCATACAATAAATAATTACCATTCTAGCTACTTTTACCGTCGGTTGTCGCTATTATGACTTTTCGTATGAACTAAAAAATTTACGATTTGACTGTTAAAATACTATAATTGCTACAAGACGAGAAAATTGTGTTGTCAAAATAGAATAAGTAGAGTAATTTTCATTTTTGAAGTATATACTAAGAAAAATACTTATTATTATTATTATTATTATTATATTTTATTTTTTTAATTAATTTATTTTTTATTGATAATATGAATGGATGGAGTTTTAATATGAACGATAACGGGCCGGTAGATCCGAGACCCGATCAATTTATTAGGAGTTGAGTTTATATTAAGGTATCCGTTCGGGTTTTATATATCCTAATTGGATTTGAGTTGGATCTAGAGTATAATGGTGGATCCGATTCAAATTTGGATATTAATAGGACTCGTTAATATATAGTAATAATTATATCAATTATATTTTGTAAAAAAATAATTTTTAACAATATAATTATATTAAAAATATTTTTATAGTTTGATTTATTTATGTATTATGATTTTATTATAAATTTTTTGAATGACATATATAAAGTTTAATATAGTTAAATTCTAAGTTAAGTTCTTAACACTAACAAAGATATTTGGGGCCTGTCGAGTCTTAGTTGAGTTTACTTCAGATCAAATCCGAGTATTATCGATCGGAGCATTATTATATCAGATTCAAATCTTGAATCTAATATGTTCGGATTGAGTATCGAGTACTCCGATTGAATCATATTCATGACATTTGATTCATTGTCATCCGTGAATTTGAACATGTGATTTTCTTTTTTATAATTCATCAGACATGACACAATTACACAAATTTGATAATTTTTTTTTTTTTTTTTACTTTATAGAATAATATTATCTATTAATTCATAATTATAGAAGGTATTGTTTGCTTTATACGTGGAATTTCACCCATATCAAATCCTCGATATA